CTAGCAATGATCCTTAATGTGTAAAAACTGTTGATCTTAAACTGGGCAATACCAGCGATGGCCGCGTCCGAATGCAGGCCAAAAAAGGAATGGGTAGGAATGTGTTGAAGTGACACTCACTTGAATGGAAGTCAAGCATTTCTTTCCACTTCCACGAGGAATCACTGGGTTGTTGGGTAACAGGGTTGGGTTTGCAGCAGGGTTCGTTTTGGTAAACGATAAGCTGAATTGATAGCCTAACGATCAGTAAGCAAAAACGTTTGCCACTAGGCAAACGAGCTCCTTTTCAATCATCGAGTTTGTTATTATTACGATGTAGTCATATTAACAAATAAAGCGACTAACGAATCTTGAATGTGGATGGGCCTGAGACTCATGATGTTTTGCTCAGTAAGCAAAAATGGTCGCTCTAAGGTCACCGAGCCCCTCAAATCACATCATACCGTTACTCGAGTTGTTGTAACCATTCAAACCCGGCACAGACGACAATCGATTTGACCATAAATCTCTTTGATATGAAAGGACCTGGGATCGCGTTTTTCTGCCACTGCAATCGACAATTTTTCAACTCCGAAAACCAAAAGCTACGAAAAAGCAATTAGGCCTTCATTAACTTCCCCTTTCACGCGACGTTCAATGTTTCGATTTGCTCTTCAGGCTATCGTGCCTCTTGCATCGTAACAAGCTGTGACCGACGTGACGATTGTTTAAGCCCTAATTAAACACGATATTAACATGAAATTCTCGAAAGCAATCAATAATGTATCCCAAACTGGATCAAGCGTGCGTCCTATTTTTTTTCTAAATATTACGAAGCGTTCCACCCGAGATCTATCAGTTACGATTTTCTGCAATAGTAGCCTAGGATAAACCTCATATACAGTATCGCTTTTCTTGTGTTCCATTCTAGTTTTACTGATATTGACCCAAATTTATTCAAAAGTGAGCCGAATTTTCCGGCCGTGGAAAACCAGCAAAAAACCTCTCGGATATGAGAAAAATCCATGAAAATCTCACTTAGTCTAGTAGTATACTAATAGGCTGAGTGAAACATCCATCGATCCCCCTCACACTCGAGAAGCACCAGCTGGATAAGGCCAGAAAGTTCATCCCACTTCTGAGTAAATTCACTATTGCCGAAAATGAGTCGGTCTGATCGACCGTGTACCCTTCTAGCTGGTCCGTACAGAAATAAACAACAACAACAACAACACATATCAGTCAACTCTCTCACTACTCGACATTCAAGGGACCATCTAAATAGGGATATTTTGAATTACAGAACGTCAGAAAAATTCAAAATTTCTAAATTCACTCATAGGGGAAATGGCTCTAATGTTGGCCTATGGATCTAAGATTGGGTCCATCGCTAAAAAGCTGCTATTTATCAATTTTATCTAGATGAACGTTTAGTCGATTGCTGAATTTATGTATGGGGCACTTAGGCCGACATTACATCAATTTCCCCTATTAGCCAAGAATTTAATCGTGTACTTAGATGTGATTTTGAAATTAAATTGAATTATTTAGGAGTACATACTGTCGTAATAGCCAATGGAACTGGAATCCAAAATTTCGTCAATTTTGAAGCACTGTGGAACTATTTTAAATAAGTGCGATGATGTTAGCAAAATTCACCAGCTTAGCGCCCCTCGGTGGTACTTTGTTGCAGTGAAGTTGCTTTAAATCTTGGTGATTCGAATCGAGATGGAAGTAAATGGGATCGAATAAAAGCATGGTTGTGCTCAGAATACGAAGCTCTTTCAGATGACGTGTAGTAATCAATATATTTTTCAAAATTAGAGAATCCCCCACCCCCAAATTTCTAGCTAGTTATAAGCTAGTTTCAAGCGAATTGCTCGGAGAATTGCTAAAAATTTTGAGCGATTTTTTAAGAGCTTCCCGGCAGGGAATTTCGAGCATATTTATGAGTAGTGTTCCAGGAGTCATAACTAGACGAAATACAAATCTAGATAGAGCTTTGTAAACAATGACTTCTCCCGATGATTTCTAGGAATTCAAGGCATGCTGACGCAAATCTGCATTACCGTCGGGTAGGGGTAGTCTTACCCTACCTGATGGTGATGTTGATTTGCGTGGGCGAGCCTTGACTTTGAAGACATCATCGAAAGAAGTCATTGTTTACAAAAGCTGTTACGCTCTAACTCCAGCTCTATCTTGAAATATTCTATGATAGATAATTAGATCAACGATATTTAAACATGCGCATTCAATCTCGACGACTTCTAATTCTGCACCTTTCGACTCTCCTTTCTCTTATCCTTCACCTATGCATCTACACTTCTATATTAAGAATCAAATTAGTCCTCATCGGCAGATTTCAATCGACTCGCATATTTTTGTAGACGTTGTGCTTCTGATTATCTGATTATTATATTACATATTACTATATATCAAAAATTTGGGATGAGGAGGAACAATCAAGGCACCCAATTGAAGCGATTTGGATGGGGAGAGTGAAGATGTCAACTCGTTGTTGCTAACTTTTCGTGGATAAAGGGCGGGCTCTTCTCCCCATTAATTGGGGTATCTTCCTGTTGGATGGCTCGTTTTCTGACCAACTGGCTGATCAAGTTGTTGGAAGGAGATTCTTAACTGTACCAAGGAAAAGAATAGGCGAATTGCCTATCAATCCATTCATTCGTGTTTGGCCCTTCATACAGCGAATTTGCTGATGACAATCATGCAATGAGTGGTAGACCACTATCATCATCATCATCATCATCATCATTTCTGATTAGTGTTCCGGGAGATTCTGATGAAATCTGCAGGGGAACTCAATGGAGAGTTTCAATTTAATTCCAAGAAAATTCCACAAGATCCTCTCAACAGCGTTTTGAGAAGCATTTCAAGGAAATTCCGATCGAATTCTGAGGTGGATTCCGACGAAATGTTGGGAGAACACTTTTCTAAACTAATCATGGCATACCAAGAGATTTCCGATGAATATTCCAAGCGAATTGTGAAGACATTTTTTGGAGAAATTAAAGAAAATTCATGCGAGAATTATTAAGAACAGTTGAAGGGGTTAGATGGAAAGGGGTGTAAGTGACGTTGATCGATCATCTTCATCGACTTTCTCTTTCGTTGATAATGCAGCTGCAAACACATTCCTTGATTCGTGTGCCATTCTGGATGCTAGATGAGAACCTCCTTTATCAAGCTATGTGGCAGAAATAGCGAAAAATCTGTTTATAAAGCTGTGGCTATCAAAGGAGAAAGTCGATGAAGAGAATCGATCAAAGTCACTTACACCCCTTTCCTTCTAACCTCCTCAATTCTAAGGTAGTTTTGAAGAGACTACTATCGAGAAATTTGAATAGAATTCCAGGGAAATCTTAAGCAAATCTGAAGGGATTTCAGGGAAAATTCAAAAGGGATTCGGAGAAGAGAAAGTGGATTAACCCTAATGACTTTATGGCTACAATCCTGACATCGCCCTTAATAACAGGGTGGCCGCTGAATTTCTGACACTTTGAAGTATTATTTAGAACATTTGACGAGAATGCCAAATGAGTTTTGAGGAGAATTGCATAGGGAGATAACTAGCCGACGACTAAAAATCTCTCTAATAAAGTTAAAAAAAAAGAATTGCATAGGAATTTAACTGAAATTTAAGTTTCAGGTTATTTTGCGAAGTATTTCAATAACATTGTAAAGAGAACTAACAAACTAACTTGGTACTACTTGATTCTAAAGGTACTGTTGTGGGGATTTTGACTAGAATTTCAGGGGATGTTAAATTAATTTGAAGATAGTTTTAAGGGAATTCCTAAGAAAATGTATCACAGGGAATTTCAATTAATTGACGAGAGAGCTCCAAAGAGACAAATTCAAATGGAATTCTGAGCATATATCCTTGTATTTTTTTTTAGCTTAAGAAGATCACGAGAAATTAACAAACGAAATTCTATGAAAGGTTCAAGAGCTTTCCAAAGAGAATTTCAAGAAAATCCCAAAAGATTCTCTCAAGGGCATTTTTCGAAGAATTTCAACCGAGTTCTGAGGCAAATTCTCGTGGAATTCCGAGATGAAATCCATGGAATATTAGGGAGAATACTTTCTAAATTTTAAAGCATATACCAAAATCTTTCTGAGGAATAGAAGGATTTTGAAAAAAAAAGTTATGGAGAGAAATTTAGGTAAATCACCGCAAGAACCATTAAGAATACGAAGAAGGATGTAGAGTAAATTTCTAAAGTTTTGTGGAGAGAATGTTCTGCACATAATTCCAAGACTGTTATGGAGAATAGCCGAGAGAATCGTACGAATATTGAGGGGAATCCTGAAAGTAACTCTGAAGATATTTTGCAATCTTCATAACGAAAATCCATGATACATTTTCTCAAATATCTTGAGATACTGAGACTACACTTGAGGGGGTTAGAAGGAAAGGGGTGTAAGTGACTGTGATCGATTCTCTTCATCGACTTTCTCTTTTGATAGCCACAGCTTTATAAATAGATTTTGCGCTGTTTTTGCCACATAGTTTGATAAAGGAGGTTCCCATCTTGCATCCAGAATGGCACGCGAATCAAGGATACGATTCTAACGCCTCCATAATTTGATATATTCTGCTCTGTAAGCAAAAACGGTCGCTCTAAGGCCATTGAGCTCCTTATATAACAACACAACACACCTTTTATGATCGAGTTGATGTAAATACCATTCAAGCTCAACGACGACGACGGTAACTATCACACGAAACACGACGAGTTACCGACATAACCCACATTTTTAATCTTTCACGATCTTCCGCTCGATAAGTAAAAACGATCGCCATTAGGCCACTGAGATCGAGATGTTTTATAACCATTCAAACCCGGCGACGGCGATGATATGATGAATTTAAGAAATGTGCTGCCGGTGAACGCATAATTGTCCCTTGTTCTATTCTATTCCAATATTTGAATAATTCCACACTACCTGTGAAAGATTTGAAACTCTTAACCCATTATCGTCGCTAATTTATCTTCCAGAACTCCCCGGAACAGCCAACACCAAAACGGCGCTACGAACGTCACTCCGTCGACCCGCTAGATCTGGAGAAGAAACCTCGCATCACCACCAGCAACTCCCTCGTCCACGAGGTCGCCACACCAAACATCATCCTACCGGACACCCGTAATCTTTCCGGGATCGCCTCGTCATCCACGTCCACTTCGTCCTCGATGACGCCTACCCAGGTGGCCAACACCGCCGGTAACGTGATTTCCGACGCCGGCAATCTGCCCATTCAGATCACCCCGGAAGCGCTGACCGCTTTCCTCCAGGGCAGCCGATCGGGACGCTGGGTACTGAACTTCTACGCCGAGAATCACCACCTGGACAAGAAGGCTCTGACCGAGCTGACGCACGTCGTCGTGGAACCGTTCCTGGTCTTCAACATCACCTTCACGCACGCAATGATGCGACACTACGCCGAGGTGATCATCCAGCTGTTCCCGTCCGAGCAGATCGAAACCTTCTACTGCCCGCGGAACACGATCCGGAAGAATCCAACCGGAAAGCTGTACGATCGGTACGTGAACCAGCGGCTTCGGTACAAAACCAAGTTCAATGCCCAACGGCCGACGTTCGTTCCGGATAGTCAGACGCAACGGACGTTCGCCGAGATGAGCACCGTCGGGATATCGGTGATGCAGCAGCAGTATCTGGACTATGGCACCGATCCGCGGGAGTTCAACAGGACTCCCACGCAGGCCGAGAGCTTCAGCGAGGAATCGATGAACATCTACGGCGCTGACGAGGGATCCATGGGATCCATCCTGATCGATGGCAATTGAACGGGTGTGTTTTTAGAACAGTACTGAGTCGAGTTAAGATAATGATAGTTTAAGAAAAAAAAAATCCAATAAACACACAATTCTAAGCTGTAGCGATGTTCGTCCCTATCAATAGCGTTTCTGCATTCTATTGTATGACATTAGCTTCACCGTCGCGTCGGTCGTCACCACAAATTTCCTTCTGCATTCTAATTTTATCCACCCGAAAAACAAAAATCAGTCCAACAACTTCAACTTGCTTTGGCTGTGTGTAGGTCAACCGCGCCATCACCGGCAAACAATGAAGGCTTTTGCGGAAAATCGATTCGACGTCGCTCGGAACGAAACGAATAAAACAATTTCCCCCCGATATTTATTAGTATACTATACACAAGCTGGCACATGGTTGATTGGCCCAGTTACCGAAAAACACAGCTCAAGTGGCATTTTATGAGCCAAACGAAAAACCATAACAGCCAATTAACATATTCATTAATGCCGCACCGACCGAATAGTTTGTGTGTGTGCGTGAGTGTGTTGGAGTGAGTCTCAATAATGCAGCAATCCCCTATTTCGGGTTGCGGTAGTTTCGGATCAAATTACTCATTATGGTCAACGAACGGCTCTCGGTGCTTGGAGGGTTTCCCCTTCCTGTCTGGGTGCTTCACTGACAATTAGCTATGCATATGCCCAACCGGGGAAATGGGGAAAACTTCTTTTCCGTGGCTGATGGGCGAGGAAGGAGTACTTACATTATTCGTCCGAATTCGTCCTTTGCTTGGTCCGCCGCTGGGGTTCCTTGGTTCATCAGCTTCGAGCGGTACAGTTCCACTTTGGCACGAACTTCCTCTTGGCCGAGTCTGCAAGTTTATAATGGCGAAAGCAAAGGAAACAGGGAGATTAGATATGGTGGTTTGATTGGTTTTATTGTGTGCTGTGGATTATGGTAAACGGCTAGATACTGCTTGCTTCTTGCATTCATGACATTGGTGATTTGTTTTGCGGTTTGTGGTGGGTCGTCCTGGAAATCAGGGCTGACAAGAGAGAAGCACTGGCGCAGCCAAAGAAACCTTTCCAGAATTGTTATGGGCCCTTATGCCGCGGACAAACTATGAGCATGAACATTATTTGTATAATGAAACTCATGATCATTAGGGTGGGTCATCATGATCATTTTTTGACGTAGGACTACGTCTTTGATTTCTATATGGGGATACACTTTGTGAAAACCGAAAATTGAACATGTAACAAATTAAGAAAGATTTTGAACGTTAATAACTCAGCTGCCCCTGGTACAATTTCAATAATTTTATCACCAATCGATCAGAAATATGGCTACGCATCGATAACAATGCTTCCGAATGTTGATTTTCAACAAGAAACTATTGGCATTCGTGGCATTCGCCTCCGATCCTCGGACGCGTGCGAATAGTGAGGGTGGAATAGCGTAATATTTTGCACACTCATCGCCATATTCAGAACCAAACGCAAATTCTTCGAGATAACCACCATCCGTCGTCTGGCTCGCCGTGGCGGTGTCTGACGTATCTCCGGTCTGATCTACGAGGTGTGCTGAAGGTGTTCCTGAAAAATGAGATCCGTGATGCTGTTACCTACACTAAACACGCCAAGCGTAAGCAGCCATGGATGTCATCTACGTTTTGAAATGACAGAGACGCACTCTGTTTGGTTTCGGAGGTTAAATCATCACCAACTTTGGCAACAAAACGGCTCTTTTCAGGACCACCAAGCTTATTACAGTAAATAAAGAGTAGGAATAGAATTCATCTGCCTGTTTGTCCATATTCAGAACCAACGACCACACAAAATGCTCATGTAATTAAACTGGAAGCAGGTGTACAAATTATTTTGATCAACCTTGATCAACTTTGAATCGCCACGGCCGGATATTTTCGATGGAAGAAGCAACAATCTAGCATCTAATTCGACGAAGACGACAGGAAACATTTGTGAAGCAGAGTTATCTACGAAAGAGAGTGTCGATGAAGAGAATCGATCAATGTAGATAGGACCTATTGAAAAGTGACGCGAGATTTGTTTTCCGTACTGAGCTCCAATGCTACCGACGCCAGGGAGGCAGCTCCCACACCTGAACCCTACCAATCGACCCATCAACTCAACCGGGGACCAACGGCTTTACTTCCCAAAGGAAGGCGTGATCGGAGACGTTATGCCTTAGAACATGCCGGTGGCGCCGACTGAGATTGGACCCAGGCCTGCTGGGGTGAGAGGTAATCACGCTAACCACCAGCGCCGATATCTTTCAAGGTGATATCACGGCGAATGAGATCGACCCAAATTTGAGTTTAGTTATCTCAGAAATAAGAAATAAAGTGCAGGAACTCAGCGATCAGTAAATTTGCCTCATGTTTTACCAGGTTTTTCCAGGATTTTCCAGGAAAAAGTTCCCGAATTTGAGAAAAGTAAAGATTGGATTCACTCAGTCTATTGGTACTACTCCGAGACTGAATAAAATTTTCGTCAATTTCCTTCTGGCAGATTTTTTAGGTTTTTCACAGGAAACCATGAGACAAATTTACTCATCGCTGAGTTCCTGCACTTTTGGCGATTATGAGTGAACTAAACTCAAATTTGGGTCGTTCTCATTCGCCGTGTACGCAAAAGGAAAAGAGCCAGTGTCACAAATTGATAGCAAACTACTCATAATGGGAGGAGTCTTTGTAGCTTTTATACCACTTGGTTGCACATCATTCTGCTTTAACCTGAAAAGATATAAAAGAGCGCTGCTGTATGGTATTAGCTCATTTTCGCTTCGGACGGCGTGGTGAACAGCAATAGCAGCAGTAGGAAGGTGGTGGCTAGTCCACTCTTTCACACCTAACAAGCAACAATTGACTGGTCGTGGCAAAGGAGGAAAAGGTCTGGTAAAGGAGGCGCCAAGCGTCATCGCAAAGTTCTTCGAGATAACCGCCATCGGTCGTCTGGCTCGCCATGGTGGTGTCCACCGTATCTCCGGTCTGATCTACGAGGTGTGCTGAAGGTGTTCCTGGAAAATGAGGTCCGTGATGCTGTTACCTACACAAAATACGCCAAGCGTAAGTGGCCATGGATGTCCTCTTCTATAAAACGGCTCTTTTCAGGGCCATCAAGCTTACATCAGTAATGAGTTGGAATAGAATTTATCTGTGCTTGTTTGTCCATATTCAGAACCCCCACCATCTCTTCCTCGTCCACCTGCACCCCTTCCCCCACCATTGCCCCCGAAAACCTCTGCGCTCCCCCGCCTAAAGGCTTACCCAGAAGCCTCGAAAGGCCCATGGGTTGTTTTTTTCCGGCCCAAACAAAAACCTTTGAACATTACGAGGATCTCTAAGGATCAACAACACATTTTTCGGCCGTTACCGATATTTTGAAGGTGACACCAATAAAACTGCGCGTTACCGTTGACGACCGGAAGCAGGCTAACCAAATTGTTACGTGCGAGCTTTTTACATTGGAATACCGATTCTACATACCCAGTAGTGAGGTAGTAATTGAAGGAGTGGTCGGGGGCGACCCCGGCGTAGTGGTTAACATCCATACCTCTCACGCCAAAGTCACGAGTTCAAATCTCACCCCCGGACAAGTCACGAATGACCCAAGAGTGTTAAAGTGACAATAATGAAAAAAAAAAAAAAAAAGGAAAAAATGGTCACCGAAGCGAGTTTGACTAGTGATGATTTCATGGGTCCCGATTCCTTCGGAATCTTTAAAAACCGTGCTCTGCCGAAGGTGAAGATATTGGACTGCCTTCAAATGCAGTCAGTATCCATCGTAGGCTCAAAAAAAAAATCGTATTCCTTGTCGAACTCGTTTCGTGTGACTTTTTCGGGCTCAGCGTTACCTCACTACGTCGCTATAGGCAAGGTTCGACTACCTGTACGTCTGTTTGTACCTCGGGTAATGAACTGCTCTAAATGTAAACAACTTGGTCACACATCGGACTACTGCTCGAACAAACCACGCTGCGATCAGTGTGGCGAGCAACATCAAGAGGGCCCTTGCGGTGCTCCACCAAAATGCGTGTACTGCAAGGAGAGCCTGCATACCCTGACTGACTGCCCGAGGTATAAACAGCAGGGAGACAAAATTAAGCGGTCTCTGCAAGCTCGCTCCAAGAGAACTATAGCAGAACTCTTGAAGAATACCGCTCCATCTTCTCAGACCACACCAAAAAGCGTTAACACGTTCTCCATTTTGCCAGTTGATGATCTAGACTCTGACTCAGAGGTCGGTGAGGGTAGTCCGTTTGTCTTTAAAGGCAATACGAGAAAACGAGCAAAAAACACAACACCGAAAAGCCTCGCAAGGCCACTCGTACGGACCACCCTTCCACCTTTGAAAAATCACGAGGTAACGGAAATACACCGAACCCCATTCCACCGGGTTTTCAAGCTTGTAATTATGACAAGAACTTTCCGTCACTTCTAAAACCGCAGATGTCCCAGTTTTTCGGCCAGAAAAGCAGCTGAATAATCAGCAAGAACATGCCCCCATGTTCACGTTTTCTGGTATTGTGGATAGCTTCTTCAGTATATTCAATATCTCTGACTCAACGAGGAGCATTATTAATTTAGTGCTGCCAATGGTGAAAACTCTTTTGAAGCAACTAGCTTCTAGGTGGTCCTTCCTTGCATCGATCATATCCTTTGATGGATAATTCTCCGAATGAGGTCGGGGATATGATCTCTGTTCTTCAGTGGAACTGTAGAAGTCTTATGCCAAAACTTGACACATTTAAATTTTTAGTTAACAATTCACTTTCTGATGCATTTGCCCTTTGTGAAACATGGCTCTCTTCAGACAACGATCTTGCTTTCCACGATTTCAACATTATTGGCCTTGATCGCGCAGATTCGTATGGAGGGTGCTTCTGGGGATCAACAAGCTCCATTCCTTCTACAGAATCGATCTGCCTTCGGTGGCAGGCATTGAAGTAGTTGCATGTCAGGTTAATATTCGAGGTAAATGCCTCAGTATATCTTCCTCCGAGAACCGCGATTTCTCGCCAAAGTCTCTCAGATATCTGCTCAGTTTTATCTGAGCCTCGGTTGATCTTGG